AAAGTGCCTGCTGCACAGGAGGGCTCAGTGGAGTTGTAGTTGTGGCAGGAGGGAAATTGGGGACATTGGTGGTAGGAATTGTACACTGGTGAAGGGACATGGTGTTATAACATTACATGACTGAAACCGCATCATGAACAACTTTGTAACTGAGTGGCACTGTCCTCCCAATTTTCATTGATTTGCTAGAGCAGACACCAGTAACATCTCCATTGTGAGATTTGATGTTACTGTTTTTGGCATATCGAATACACCACAGGGAGTTTGCCATGCTCTGCCGTGCAGGTGGGATACTCTCAGTAGCTTGCCAGGCTCTCCAAGAGGGATGGAGGAATCGAACCTGAGTTGGCCACATGCAAGGCAAACGCCCTACCCGCTTTGCTATCGGTCCATCCATTTCATAGAAATTCAATAGACAAAGAAAATAATTAAATAAAGTACACATGTATGATAAGAACGAATAACATTGCTACTAAGTAAGACAGCTTGCTCAATGTAATTGTACACCCTCTGAGTCAAAGTAGAGCATAAACAGAGAAAGAAGCATTGGTAGTCAGTTTCTAATTTATATAACTTTGAGCTCACGATATGGGTATTGCAACACATTCAGTGGCAAAGATCCACCTCCCAGGCGTCCTCAACACAAAAGAGATGGAGGACCATAGACTGATGGTCAAAATGATTTGTTTAATGCAGAGCTGTTGGCATACTTATAAAACATCTGGAGGGGGTTGAGGTATAGGACTGCACATAGGTATGATCGATTATCTGCAGATGTGAAGCATTTCAGTGGAAGTCGTTCTTTTGGGGGATTAACTCAAGAATACTCTCAGATATTAGGGCCCCAGATATTAGGAGCATAACATTAACGGTCTTTCTGTATTTAAGCAAAGAGTAAAATGAAAAGTTTATAATAAAATGGAAAGCTATAGGGGAAATAGAAAAGCAAGTAATTCACTTCAAACAGAAAGGAAAGATAAAGGTAATGTCAGGGGATGAGAGGTGCTCACAAGAGCAGTTTAAGCTTCTCTGGGAGGAGGAAAGGGGGAAATTCATCGATGAAACCTAAAACACTTAGGGGTAATATTCAACACTTAAAGAGGATGAATTGATAAGGGGCAAAGACGTAGATGCAGTTCTGCTTTGCTGTTTCCTCTTAGCACTACATCCAGTTGTCTGTATTCATTTTTCCTGTGTGCTGGTCTCATTAAGATTCCATTTCCTACTAGATACTGCTCTTGCACTAAGGGAGGAATTGGCAGAAAGAGCACTAAGTGGACAGAAAGAGACTCTCCAGTATTCTGGTCTAGGAATAATATATCCGGGACTTAAAGTTACATTTTGAACTAGAATTCAGGCATTGAATTCTCACAGGCATTGGGAGGGTTGGGAAGGGGAGTATATTGGGGTTCTTCTTGGTGAAAAATAAGTAGTGGTGAAGGGAAATGTGTTTGATGATTGCATGACCGAGACTTAAATCTGAAAGCTTTGTAACTTTTCCCACAGTGATTCAATAAATAAATAAGTTAAAAAAAATAAAGTTACATTTTGTCTTAGCATGACTACAAGAGTCACCCCCAGAATGCATACTTGAAAGGAAGGTTTTCATCGAGTTGTCTCTGTTTTCCTGGAGATCTTGATGAAGTTTCTTTGTTTTATGCCTTAATGGCACTCCAAATGATATTGGAAGAAGTAGGGAAATTGAGACGAAGAGAGAGAGAGAGAGAGAGAGAGAGAGAGAGAGAGAGAGAGAGAGAGAGAGAGAGAGAGAACAGGCTTGATTCTGGAGTCACCTGTAACTCCCAGGGGAAGTGCCTAGAGAAAATGGTTATTAATATCTGCCACAAGCATCTGTATGCTGTGGCTATTCTTATCCCACTAATGCTACACACAAGGCAGCCAATAATCTACACATGCGGTTCACTTTGTCTCTGGATCGTCCACTCAGTCCCCAGCACATGGGCTCTTCAACATCATGCCTTCAGATCTGAGTGAGGGACTTCTCTTTGTAGAAAAGGGAAAAAAGTTCTGGTCTCCATTTAGGTTTCTGTGTCTGTTGCCTGCCCTCACAAAAAAGAACTTCAAAATGCAAGAGAAGATGAAGTGAGAGAAACACATTCAAGAGATAATGAGATTCTCGTGAGTGAAGACAGTAAAGGGACACCATCCAAGTTAAGGGGCATGTGGATGTGAAGACAATCTGGCTGAGACATCTAGTGCCCCAGTGATTGCCAGGGCTGATTAGAACAATCTGACTGACTAGGTGAGGTCCCCTTCTACCTCACTGTTCCATGTTATCTCTCCCGAAGCTGCATGCTCAGTCAATGAGGATGGCCTTGCCCATATGGAGAAGGATCACTCTTCAGTTGAGGATATATAAATAGCTGCGGTCCCCTGCTAGGACCTCCAAATGAGCTTTCCCAAGTTAAGATACATGCAGAACCAGAATGCTGCTTGGTTTAGGTAAGGAGGTTTTATAGGTTTTCCTCAAACTCCACCAGCTTGCACTTTCTGTGCTAATAAGAGTCTGTACCTAGGGCTGGAGCGATAGCACAGCGGGTAGGGCGTCTGCCTTGCACGCAGCCAACATGGCCGACCCGAGTTCGATTCCTCCGCCCCTCTCGGAGAGCCCGGCAAGCTACCGAGAGTATTCGATATGCCAGACACAGTAACAACAAGTCTCCAATGGAGACGTTACTGGGCCCGCTCGAGCAAATCGACGATCAACGGGAGGGCCTTTACCTTTACCTTTACCTAGGATGTTGGTAAGGGGAGCAATTTTAGACTTTTGCTGTCTTTCATATTCTTATCACAGCCCTTTGCTCTTGGTTTCTGTGCAGACTCTCCCCTAAGCATTCATGCCTTCTCTGGGCTAGGACTGGGATCAGAATCTGAGCCTCTGTGCATCTCAAAGTGTTTCCAGCTGTCTTCATGCTTTGGGGATTCTTTAGGCTTGTGACAGAAAAACAGTAGTCTGTATCTTGGTTTCCTCACCTTCAGAGATACTCATTGCTCCCATGTCTCCTGCCTGCTTCAATTTCTTTCATTACTGAATAAGCGCCAGGGATTATAATGGATTATATTAAGTGTCAGTGCCTGGGTCTGAATTCCACTGTCAAAGAAAAACATGTACTGGTATCTGTTATGACAAGGTGATATTACATTGTATAGTTTTCATACTGCATATATTTATTCATCAAGGAATGTAGATTTGGGTTGTTTCCAATTAGGGCTACCACAAACAATGCTGCCATAAATTTAATCATTTTGTTCTAAGATATTTTCAATGTTCTTTAGAATGTATATACAGAGAGAATTATTAAATAACAAGATAATAATCTTGTTCAACATTTTAGGGAACTTCAAAATTATGTTCACAAAATATTGCATGTCCAATCTTATGGCAGACCAGGCTAGAAGTTTCAAAGCACAAGCTTTGCATGCTGGGGCTCAGAGTTCAATACACAGCACTGCCTATTTCCCTGAGCACCACCTTTTGCCTGGAACAACTCTGATCATCGTTGCATCTGCCCAGATACACATAGACACACAGACAAACACACACACATGCTGCAGTGTTTTACATAGTGACAGCAACATATGCGGTTCTAATTTTTTCCACTGTTATTTCTTGAAAGAAAACTTCCATTGGATGTGTAATAGCATCTATTTTTGTGTTTATTTTGAGTTTTCCTTAAGACTGTTGATGGTGGACACTGTTCATATGTATATTTGCATATGAACAGTGATTGCTGCCAAATTAGTCTCACAGTCCCCATCTGCAGGTATGGTCTCACAAAATGAGACAATCTAAAAGGAGAGTCAAAGCAGGTTTTCAAAAAAAGATATTCTTTGAAATTTTGCTTGGTATAGTTTATATTTTTACAATTTTGGTTCTCGATGAGCTTCTCTACCTGCAGGAATTTTTGTGTTGATTCCCAACTACTGTGCAGGTCTTACGCCCAGGACAGGCCCCCATAGCCCTCAAAGTAGCAACTACCAACAGGAGCTCCCATGGGAGTCAGGCAACTCTAGAATACAGACTTGACTTCTACCCATTCCTCAGTCTCCCTAACAGCCCCACGGGTCACTGCTCTTGTTTATTATGGAAACTTGCATGTGTACTTTTATAATGTATCTTTCAACAGGGGTTTGCAATATAGAAAAGCTTTATTTTCAGGCAGTCATCTCTTTCTTTTCTCTGTTGAAGATAAATAACACATACATGCTGAAAATAAATCACAAGTTAACGATTGGGAAAAATTAACATGAACCAGGAAAGCTCCTAACTCCTAGGAGTCTCGGGAGCAAATGTAGAAAGATCTGAAGTGAAAGTCAGAACACTGGCTCTTGGTGGTTTCCTGGGCTCAGAGAACAGCTTCCTCTTTTAACTGTATCACTTGGCTTGGGTGTTTTGTTGCTTTGTTTGGCTGGTTTTGGGGCCACACCTGGCAATACTAAGGGTGTATTTTTGGCTTTGCACTAATGATTCCTTCCTGGCTGTCCTCAGGGACCAAATAAGATGCCAGGAATCAAACCTGGGTTGGCTAGTTGCAAGGCAAACAATTTATGCCTTACAAGCTGTAGTATGGCTCCAGCCCTATCACTTAGTATTATTGATTGCTGGGGAGTAAAGGCATTGCTCCCCACCAGTCAGAAGATGTGTTGCATAAATATTCCGTTCAATGGGAGATGCTGACACAAGGAAATATTTCATGGATGGTCCAGGTTCGGTCAGACTCTGTGACAAGGTAGAGAGCCCTGAAATCTCCTTTTATTACTATCCCATTGTTCATACCTCTAGTCTATAGGGCTCAATACAATGAGGTCATCAACAAAAAAGTTAGGGGAAGAACCTGGGAAGACAAAGGCCCTTGTTCCTGCCCATGTGTGGCACAGTCTACCTGGGCTCATTCTGATGGATCAGTCCGGCCCCAACAAGGGCGAATTGAAACCTTTGGAAATCAGGACTTTGAACCCCACAACAGTTTCACTTTCCAGTTTAATCCAGTTTGGGTGAAAGGGGGTCCAGGGTCACTAGAAGCTACAACAGTGACTGGCAACAAAAAATGTGAGTTTTGGGGACTAGAAAGTGAAAATAAAAGGTCAAGGTTTGCTATGTGACCTAAGGATTGTACGTGTGTGTGTGTGTGTGTGTGTGTGTGTGTGTGTGTGTGTGTAAGAGAGAGAGAGACAGAGAAAGAGACATAGGGAGAGACAGAGAGACAGAGACAGAGAGAAAGGCATGCAGACATACAGAGAGACAGATAGAGATAGAGAAAAAAAATAGACTCACTAGAAGGCATGATTTACTCTAGTTCCTTCTTGGTATCCCTCCATCTAACACCAAGAAGGCACAGCCTCTTATCTTGATAATATTCTGGGATGTGAACATATTTTTGAAAATATTTTTTGAAATATATAATCTATGCTACACAAGCATACAACAGGGACAAATGGAGATGTTAGTGGTACCCGCTCGAGCAAATCTATGAGTAATGGGATGTCAAATGATCAAGTGATATAATCTATATTATAACTTCTCTATCCCTAGGCTATAATCTACCTTTTTAAAAATCTGCTTTTGATGCTACTGTGTGGATAAATATGTTAAGAATAACTTAGTGTCTATATGTAATTTTCATTGTCAATCCTTAATTTATCCATAAAAATAAGGCCTTCACTGATATACCAAGAGTAGTACAACATATTTGGAGTGGTGTAATTAGAAGGAATACAATGTTGATAAAAAATTTATATGTACGTACATGTGTACATATATATTATATATAGTACACAAGACTCAACGCCTACCAATATTTTAATGATCTCTAATCCAGGGGCTTAATGGCTCCAAGATGAGATACAACAATTTTTACACACTTCTTTTTAAGGAAACCTATTGGTTCATTTGTAGTCAATTATTCATAACAAGTAATACAAAATAAATTATTTAGCATCTGCCTTTGGGACATGCATGGGTGTTGGTGGTAGAAATCATAATAAAGTTGTTGAGAAAGTGTAATGTTGGTGGCATTGGTGTTGAAATATTGAATGTAATCAGTTGCTGTGAACAGCTCCTTGAAAGTATTAAAAAAGATTAAGGCCTTTTTCTCTGGGGCATATCATATATTATTATTTGAGATTTCACTTCTCTAATAATAAATGATGTTTTTGTTTCACATGTATGGGGAATTGTGTTTGAGAAGTATTTACATAGACATTTTGCCCATTTTTAAAAACTGTTTAGCCTTATGTCTTTAGGAAACACTTACACGGACATTTTGCTATTTATTTATTTTTTATTTATTGAATCACCATGAGAAAAGTTACAAAGCTTTCAGGTTTAAGTCTCAGTCATACAATGATCGAACACCCAGCCCTTCACCATTAATTATTTTTCACCACCAAGAAGCCCAATATAACCCCCTCCAACCCCTCCTGATGCCTGTGAGGCAGATGATTTCTACTTAACTCTATCTCTACTTTGATTACATTCATTATTTCAACAAAAGATGCACCATTATTGTTTGGAATTTCCCCCAACAATCAGAACTGCTGAAAAGGCATTGTGAAATAATTAGTTTTTTATTGCTGATTATAAAAACTGTATAATGTCACGTGGCCGCTATTGCGATTTTGGATTTCTGATATTTTACTAATTAAGTCTGGAGGGATTTCTGCCAAGAACTGGATAATTACGAGATTGGTTTGTGTGCCTCCGGTGCCATGGCCTGCTCGTGCTGGAGAGCCGCTTGTGGGGACAACTCATGGCCTCGGTAGGGCGTGAAGGACATGCTGGTTCTGCCCCCTATCCCATGAGGCTGCAGTTACCCCATCACCAACGGCTCACACCTGGCTGTCCAATAAGCTCTGAGGTTGTGGCCACATACGCTGCTGGTAGGCGGTGGGGGGGTTTGGGGGGAGGGAGAGGCAAAAGAGACAGACACTCATAGCCTCGGTAGGGCGTGAAGGGCATTTTGCTCATTTTTAAAAGCTCTTTAGTGAAGTGGTATATTGCATTTATGATCTGAGTATATCAAACATCCTTGTCTAAAAGACGAGACCCACTTGATAATAATGAAGGACTTTCTTGACACATGGTTAGAGACTATTATCAAGATATAGTTTTTTGGTTTAACATAAAATAATTTCATTATAAGGGAAAGGAAAGAAAGGAAAAATTGTTCCAAAAAGACTATGAGCTTCACAAGAGGAGCAAGGGCTCTGAATGACTTTGAGAAAGGGTCATATGTGGATATTCTCCACACTACTTTGACTTGAAGTTACATTACCATTGCCTTTTTTTCATGGTTTTTGGCTTTGGGACTAGGGTTTATTTCTGGCTCTGCACTCAGTAATGAATCCTAGTGGGGCAAATTTCTTTCGTTCATTTTATTCATAACTGGTAAAGTAATTTGATTCTGAGCTCTTCTTAGGAAGTCTTGCACTTGCAGGTTAATTTTCTGTGAGTCTACAGAAGCTCTGATCTAGGACCTACTCTTCTTCTCTCCTAAGATCAATTATTCTTCCCTCAGATCAGGAGGATGACAGAATGGACATTTAAGTTAGCTATTATCTTACATAGTCACCCTAGAGGGATCTCCCTGGCTTCATTGAACTGATATTACTGTTCTTTGGAGAGAGGAGTTGATAGAATACAGAGGGGGATTTTCATTTGTTAAATATGAATCCACTGAATCTTCTTCATTTTCAGCCCTAATTCCTAAATGTTGCTTCTATAGTTACAAGCAATTAATCAGAAACAAAGTATTTGTGATGGTTATATTTGTTGTTCCCTGGTTTTCAGGTCATAGCAATAATGGACAGAGTCAAAGATATAGTAATGCAAGTGCGAAGGAATTTTATTTCAGTTTACTAGGGTCAACAGTCTCACCCACAAAGTGGTCTCTTGATAGCAACCCCGACCACCAAGTGCAGGCAGTTTATACAGGTTCCAAGGCTGAGAAGGCACTATGATAGCAGTGATCAAGCAACAGTTGTTAGCGATCAGTCAGCATTTGATAACAGTTTCTGTTTAAAAAAAAAATGGACACGTGACCCTTCATGACCAGTCAGATGGTCTAGCAGTTCCTTCTTTGGGCAAGTTACTCAACAGGGAGTTTAACAGAAATTGCAAGCTCAAGTTTCTGGGAAACAGAAACTTACATCTAGTCAAAACATAATGTCAGCTGCAGCCTGTCATGGCTGCAGTCTTGCTCTAGGTCTGAGTACCTAACAAGGTTATTGGTAACTTATTTTTTAAAATCCCTAATATTCTTTCTGTTCATATGTAACTTGTGTGATGAATAACATCTGACTTCTCTCAGATTTTTTCCAGAAAACATTTCTGTGGTTATGGTCTTTTCTTTTTCTGAACTGCTAGTTAGACCAACACCCACAGCATGTAACAAATAAAATGCTCTCATTACAATGAGACACTAAATTTAAATATATAAAGGTAAAGGTAAGGTAAAGGCCCTCCCGTTGATCGTCGATTTGCTCGAGCGGGCCCAGTAACGTCTCCATTGGAGACTTTGTTGTTACTGTGTCTGGCATATCGAATACTCTCGGTAGCTTGCCGGGCTCTCCGAGAGGGGCGGAGGAATCGAACTCGGGTCGGCCATGTTGGCCGCTTGTAAGGCGAAAGCCCTACCGCTGTGCTATCACTTCATCTAATCTAAAACACTTGGGATAGTACTACTGTATTCCACACACACATTCATTCTCTGAAAGTGTCAGTCCAGTCAGACTCAGCATGTCACTCAGATTTCCATCAGTTAGAGAGAAATCCCATCTGCTTGATCTCTAATTCTATTTTCAGTATTAATGGTTTCCAGGAAAAACCATGGCCTCGGGCAAAGTTAAGACCATGAGAGAGGAAGCCACCTGACTGATCTGCCTAGAGCTGATGACTGAGCCAGTGAAAAACTGTTGACACATCTACTGCCATTCAGGCTTATTAGAAAATCTTGAGAACCAGAAAATGAAGTCACCTTTCTGGGGAAACTTCCAGTGTCCTGTATGTAGGGCACAGTTTCAAAGGGAGAGCATCTGGCCCAGTAAGCAGCTAGGAAACCGCACTGACACAATTAAGATGGCGGAGCAGGAACATCTGTGTGAGGATCACAGAGAGAAGCTCAGCCTGTTCTGTGAAGATGATGGTCAGCTCATCTGCTGGTGTTGTGAGCGGACAAAACAGCACAAAGGGCAAACCACCATCCTTGCTACAGATGCCTGTCAAGGCTACAGGGTGAGTACTGCCCAGAGTGCTTCACCAAGTACCCCTTCCTCTTTTGCATCCATGGAGCTGAAATAAGTTAGTCTGAAGTCCAGTATTATGATTAAGCTTTCATCTCCTTAATCTTTAGATAAACTTTATATAGGCTCCCCATCTGATATACACATATATATTAAAAGGCCTATTAATGCATATACATAGAGTGTTGTGTACTCTCCATGGACATCAATATCTGTAAAACACTTGGCCCCTGGCAAAACAAAAGTGTTCTATGAAAAACATTCATAAATCCCTTGATTACACTCAACAACAGATAGGTATACCTATATATTCAAAGTAACTACTGATTTATAGAACAAGAAGAAAATTGATTATTACTTTTAAGGTACAAAGTTGGTTAACCTAAAGGTGTGCTCCTGAAATGAAAGTAATCTGAAAACTTAAAAGTTGATATTGTACTACATAATTTAAAATTGCTTGCATAATTACATTTTTTGATTAACTATTACAGCTCCTCCCTGTTCCTCATTTTTTTTTTTCTTGAGTGTTTTCCTAGCTCTGTTCTCTGATCCAGGGGACACTGCATGGTGAGGACCCAGAAGCCTGACTGTTCAGTGCTAGGGCCCTGTAGTGCTGTGGGGCACTGGGTCCATATCTGATCATGTTTAGGAATATCAGTATCCTATCAGTTAGCGCTCAGAGAAAATACAGTTCTGGGGAACAAACTGAGAATCCCCATCAAACATGTGCACAGTCTCATTGACATTCATTTGTCCTGCTGACCCTTCCATTGAGGTTAGGATTTAGAGACCACACACAGATGTGCTCGGGGCTGACCCCAGGCTCAATGCTCAGGGTTCATTTTTGGCTGTGCTTGGGGAATGATAGGCAGCATTGGAACAGTATGCTGTAGCAAGGCAAGCACCATAATACCTGTATTATCTCTTAAGATGTCCCTGAACTCTTTTGAAAAACTTTAGTGGTAGTTCGTCTATTCTTACTTAAACATAATAATCTATAAAAACTCACCAGATGTCAATAAACTGCTATTGGTTTTGTGTTTAACACATTATTATAAAAAAAAAATGTCGGGTGGAGCGATAGCACAGCAGGTAAGGCGTTTGCTTTGCATGTGACCGACCCAGGTTCAATTCCTCCATCCCTCTTGGAGAGCCTGGCAAGCTACCAAGAGTATCCTGCCTGTATGGCAGTGCCTGGCAACCTCCCCGTGGTGTATTCAATATTCAAAAAAAAAAAAAACCAGTAACAACAAGGCTCACAATGGAGACATTACTGGTGCCCACTCAAGCAAATTGATGAACAATGGGAGAAGAGTGCTACAGTGCTATTATTAAAAATATTATTATACATTATTATTTTCTTGGGCCAGAGCGATAGCACAGTGGGTAGGGCGTTGGCTTTGCACGCAGCCGATCAGGGTTCAAGTCCTCTGTCCCTCTCAGAGAGCCCTGCAAGCTACTGAGAGTATACCACTTCGCACAGCAGAGCCTGACAAGCTCCCTGAGTCATATTCGATATGCCAAAAACAGTAACAAGAAGTTTCACAATGGAGACGGTACTGGAGCCTGCTCAAGCAAATCTATGCACAATGGGAAGACAGTGCTACAGTGCTATTATTTTCTTGTACTTTGTACAGTGTTCACTAGGTGAATGTAGCATTGTATACGTTAGGACATGGGTTATCAGAAGAACCTGTTTCTAAAATAGAAAAGCAGACCAATAGAAAAGGGTGGAATATCCGTACACACAATCCCAAATGGATGAACATCTAATCTTTCATGAGGGAACAAGAAATGGGAAGTGGAACAAGGAAAGCCTCTTCAACAAATGGTGCTAGCATAACTGGAAACCAAAATCTGGAAACAACCCAAGTGCCCTAGAACAGATGACTGGTTAAAGAGACTTTGGTACATCTACACAATGAAATACTATGCAGCTCTCAGGAGAGATGAAGTCATGAACTTTGCTTATAAATGTATAGACATGGAGAGTATCATGCTAAGTGAAATGAGTCAGAAAGAGAGGGACAGACAGAGAAGGACTGCACTCATTTGTGAAGTATAAAACAACATAACATGAGGCTGACACCTAAAGATAGTAGATACACAGGACAGGTAGATTGCTCCATAGCTGGAAGCTTTCCTCATGAGCAAAGGGGAGAAGGCAGTTGAAATGGAGAAAGGATCACTAAGAAAAAGATGGCTGGAGGAATCAATCTGGATGGAAGATGTGTGCAGAAAGTAGATAAAGGACCAAACACTATAACCTCTCAAGGTCTTTATTGCAAACCATAATGACCAAAAGTAGAGAGAGATTATGGGGAATCATGTCTGCCATGGAGGCAGAGGGATGGTGGGAAAGGGGGTGGTGGGAAAGGGGGTATACTGGAGATATTGGTGGTGGGAAATGTGCACTGGTGGAAGGATGGGTGTTTGATCACTGTGTGATTGTTACACAAACATGAAAGCTTGTAACTATCTCATGGTAATTCAATAAAATTAAAGAGAAAAGAAAAAAAAGTTCCTCTTAACACAGCTTTTGCTGTGTCCCATTAGTTTTGGTAACTTGTGTCCTCATTTTCATTGTTTCCAGGAATCTTTTGATTTCCTCTTTGATTTCCTTTCTAAGCCACTTGTTGTCCAATAGTGAGCTGTTTAATTTCCAGGTGTTTGATGTAGTTTTCTGTTTGTGTGTGTGATTTACTTCTAATTTCTGCACATTGTGGTCTGAGAAGATTGTTTATACAATATCTTCTTAATTTTATGGAGGTATGTTTTGTGGCTCAGCATGTGGTCTATCTTGGAGAATGTTCCATGCACATTTGAGAAGAATGTTTATTCAGCATTTTGAGGATGAAGTGTCCTGTATCTATCTACTAAGTCCCTTTCTTCCATTTTTTCCCTCAGATGAAGTATGTCCTTCCTAAGCTTGAATCTGGTTGATCTATCAAGAGGTGATAAAGCGGTTTTGAAGACTCCCACTATATTGTGTTGCCATCGATGCCTTTCTCCAAGTATATGAGTAGTTGTTTTAAGTACTTTGCTGGTCCTCATTAGGTACATATACATTTAGTATTGTAAGTTCTTCCTGTTTTACAGATCCCTTGATAAATAAGAAATGGGCTTCAATATCTCTTGTGACCTTCTTCGGTCTGAAATCAATGTGGTCTGACACTAGGATGGCTACCCCAGCTTTTTTATGGGAGTTGTTTTCCTGTAGGACTGTTTTCCAGCCTTTGACTTTGAACCTGTGTTTGCAAGCAGCAGAACGTTGGGTTCAATTTTTTAATCCATCCTGCCACTCTGTGTCTTTTAATTGGTGTGTTTAGCCCATTGACATTGAGAAGGATTATTGTTATGGGGGTTTGTCCCATTTTTCTGTTCGACTTTGGTGTATGTGAGGGGCCTTATTGTCACATTTCGTTCCTCTTGTAACCATGGTTTTGAGTCTATAAAGTTCTTGAGCTCTTGTTTGTCTGTGAAACTGTGTGTTGTTCCTTCTATTATGAATGAAAATCTTGATGATTAAAGTATTTTTGGTGAGGCATTTATTTTATTGAGTTTTTTTCACTATATCCCACCACTGTTTTCGGGCCATGAAGGTTTCATCAGACAAATCAGCTGTGAAATTTAAGGATGCTCCTTTATAGGAAATTTCTTTCTTTGATCTTGTTGCTTTCAGACTTTTATCTCTATCTAAGGTTTTAGTCATTTTGATCTGAATGTGTCGGGGTATTTTTATTAGGATTTTTTCTAGCTGGAACTCTTCGGGCCTCCTGAATGTGGTCGCATGTTTTCTTCAGCTCTTTAAATGTCATAGCAATGATGTCTTTGACAGTTTCTCTTCATCAGGGTTTTCTTCCTGTCCCTCTGAGACTCCAATAATTCTTATGTTTCTCCTCTTGGCTTCATCACGATCTTCTCTGGCCATATGTTCACGGATTGTGAGTCTCTTTTCCATTTTCTGCTCTTTTCTGAGCAACTTTATCTTCTAGCTCACTGATTCTGTCCTCAGCAGCTGTACTCTGCTGCTGAGGCCTTCCACTGAGTTTTTCAATTCGCCTTCTAAATTTTTCAGGTCTGACTTTATTTACATTTTCCTCATTTCTACCTTCAAATCCTCTTGTCTTTTATCCGCATTGCTTTCCATTGTTTCTTTTAGTTCCCTAAGCATCCTCAGTAGCACCCTTCTACACTCCTTGTCAGAGAGGTTGTCTAGCACTTTATTAATGTTGGAGTCGTCTGGGCTAGCCTCTTCAATAAGTAAGCTTGGTGGGCTCCTGCATTGCTTTACCATTGTGACCTGTGTGGTTTAGACCTTCACGCACACTGTTACTTTCCTGCTTATGATGTAGTATGAATTGAGATGGGGTGAATGAATGATTGGCTAAAGTGTTTCTGGTGATTAAGCTCACCTAGTGAAAGTTCCATCTACGAGGATAACTTATGGTTCCTATAGAATATGTAGGGGGGAGAATAACTCTGAGCTGTGTTAGCGGCCGTGGCTCCTGGAAGGGGCCCTGCTGCGTGAGGTTCCTTTATGCGTGAGGTTTCCAGGGCGGATACCTGGATGAGCGAGCAGAGGGTGCCCGGAATGGTTCAGCTTTTGTGTCACACAGTGTGTCTCAATTTCCATCCCCTGCAGACCAAGGATGTAAACCGGCCGTTCTCATGGGGGTTTAGTTAGAGGTGCAACCCCAGGAAGGGGTTCTGCCGCCGGATAGGTACCTGATGACTGAGCCTACCTTCTGGATTTTGGCCTGATGTTGAGAACTTTAGTCCATTTTGATTTGACTTTTGTTCATGGTGTTAGGTCAAGGTCTAAACCCCCCTTTTTTAAAATGTGGTTGTCCAAATCTGTTTCCAGATTTTTGGTGAGAGTGTTCATCATAAATGAGTGCTAGATCTTGTCACAAGCTTTCTCTGAGTCTATTGATATGATCATATAATTTTTATCTTCACTTTTGTTGATCACGATCATCCTGTTGTTCG